GCCCGAAAAGTTATGGGTAGCCGGAGGACATCGAGTACAAGACCGCGGAAGCCCAGCGACTGGACACGGAGCTCAACGAGCTTACCGCCGATCAGGACCTTTTGTTCTGCTGGCTTCTTAGAAGGGAAGGAGGGTTTAGGGTTTAGGGTTTAGGGTTTAGGGTTTGGGGTTTAGGGTTTAGGGTTTAGGGTTTAGGTTCCCTCATTTCCTGTTCTGTTGCGTTCGCACAACCAGAGCAAACGAAGAGCCAACGCCGCGTTAAGAGACACTATCGGCAGGAGTGGGGTTTACGGTTGCTTGAAGATTTAACCCTAAACCCTAACCCTAAACCCGAAACCCTAAACCCGAAACCCTAAACCCTAAACCCTAACCCCCAAGCATTCATAAGTCTACTTTTGACCTGCTTAGGGACTTAGGGAGCTTACAAGTACAGTTATAACCTCCAAGTGGCTTAGGGTTTAGGGTTGGGTTCCATGAGGCTGTGAGCTACATCATTGAATCATGGCTACACCTCGCGCCCACGAGGATTCCCAGAAGCTTCCGAACCCGAACCACCCCCCCGCCCCCAAACAAAACTCCTTGCCCTGGAGCCCTATCCGCCTCAGCTAAACCATTAAACCCTAAAGCCTTATTTCCTGAGTCCCCTAAACCCTAAACCTAAACCCTAAACCCAAAACCCCTAAATCCCAAACCTTCAACCCTAAACCACAAATTCGAAATCCCGGCTCCTGAGTTTTCAGACCCTTTGCTGCATGCCAAGTTGGAGAAGCAGAGCAGTTTCAATCTTAGAACACTGGCTACAAGTAGATGCGGGCGTGGTTCAAAGGTAGACCAAGTAGAATCCTCAACCCTAACCCTAAACCCTTAACCTAAACCCTAAACGCCAAGCCCTAAAACCCCAAACCCCAAATCCTAAACCCTTTCGTGGCATAGGAGAGCATGCAGACTGAGATGAGCGCCATTCTGGAGTTCACCAAGGGCCTGGAGGAGAAGCAGGGTGCTTTTCAGGGTTTATTTGGTTTAGGGTTTAGGGTTTAAGGTTTAGGGTTTAGGGTTTAGGGGTTAGGGGTTAGGGGTTAGGGTTTTAGGGGGGGGAAGGTTTAGGCCTTAGGGTTCAGTTTAGGGTTTACTTGGTTTCAGGGCTAAGGGGTTTCAGGGTTGGCGTGCTTCGGGCTTGGGCTGAAGATTTCGGGTGCCAGGGGTTGGAGTTGAGGGCTTGGGGTTTGACAAGTTTGGGGTTTTCCAGTTTCCAGAGGTCGGGAGGGTGGTGGTTTAGGGTTTTGGGGTTTTGGTTTGGGGCTTGGGGGTTAGGGTACGTTTAGAGCTTAGATATTTGGGGGGTCATTTAGGAAGGCGCTTTGCCGCGGTTGAGGAATATTGGCTTTGCTCAGGGTCTGCCTACTCCCTATAAACCCTATAAACCCTAAAAACCCTACGAACTATGCCCCGAACCCTGACCTACACCCCCGAAGCCATACACCCCCTATATCAATAGCCTCATGGACTCATCGATCCCTTACCTAAGGCCTAAACTTGTATAAAGCCCGTATCCCTTCCAGGAACGTTTAAGGAACCCTAACATAGAGCCCCAAATAGTAGTAGTATTCTTATGATAAGGACCCCAAGAAGGTATCCCTATTTTCGGAAACCCCCCGTATACGCCCACACAGACCCTTGGTAACCATGATCCGTATATCCGAATCGCAAGGCCGAGTGCCTGGTGACGCCGGAGTCCTTCGCAGAGAAGCAGGCGAAACGCCAGCAGGACGCACTACATCCTAAACCCTAAACCCTAAACCCTAAACCCTAAACCCTAAGCCCTAAGCCCTAAACCCTAAACCCTAAGCCCTAAGCCCTAAACCCTAAACCCTAAACCCTAAGCCTCGCAACCCTAAACGCCAAAGATTTGGGGTAGAGCCTGGCCTTGAGAACCCACAGGGTTTAGGGTTTAGGGTTTAGGGTTTAAGGTCTAGGGTTTAGGGTTTAGGGTTGATGATGATGATGATGATGATGATGATGATGATGATGGTGATAGAAATCCTCGCCTAGGCCACCTAGGAAGCCAGGGCAGAGGGCCCAGGGCGGAGGACTTACGATGTGTGGAGCTCTTGGGAGCCCCACGGCTTCAGGGCTGAGGCTGTCAGGGCTTGAGGGTTTAGGGTTTGGGTTTAGGGTTTACGGTTTAGGGTATCTCAAAAGGTCTGCATCCTCGGAACAAGGGAGATTTTCACTAAGCTCCAGGACCTTGGGACATTCTATCTGTGCCTGAGATAGGTTTTACGCAAGGGTATCGCCTTCAGGTACACTGTTCAGAGGGCCTTCGCCCCTAAGCCCTAAACCCTAAACCCTAAAACCCCTAAAAACCCTAAACCCTAAACCCCAAACCCTAAACCCTAAACCCCAAACCCTAAACCCTAAACCCTAAACCCTAAACCCTAAACCCTGAACCCTGAACCCTGAACCCTGAACCCTGAACCCTGAGCCCTGAGCCCTGAACCCTGAACCCTAAACCCTAAACCCTAAACCCTAAGCCCTAAACCCTAAACCCTAAACCCTAAACCCTAAGCCCTAAGCCCTAAGCCCTAAACCCTAAACCCGAAACCCTAAACCCGAAACCCTAAACCCCAAACCTTGCCAATCTAGTACTTAGTATCCCTACACAGGAGATCGACGGCCTGAAGGAGGCACTGACGGCTCTGGATGCCACCGCCGGCACTGCCCTGCCTCTCGGCAAGTCTTCGTCTGCTTTCTTGTTTTGCTAGAGAGCTGGGGTTTAGGGTTTAGGGTTTAGGGTTTAGGGTTTAGGGTTTAGGGTGGGCCCTGACCCTACGCTTTAGGTCTTAGGGTTTAGGGTTTAGGGTTCGGGTGTCGGGTTTAGGGCTAAACCCTGAACCCTGAACCCAAAGCCCGATGCCCCCATGGCCCCGATGCCCAGAGCTTTGATCGGTTGACGCTCCGCATGACACGCGCAGTTCTCGAAACTCCGGTCCCTTTTTCAGGTTTCCGGTTGCCTACAAGCGGCTTTACGGTTTAGGGTTTAGGGTTTAAGGTTTTGGGTTTTGGGTTCAGGGGTTTGGGCTTAGAGCACCGCCATAATATACGGGTCAGAATAATTGCTAATCCTATGTCCTTATGGTCCCTTTCTATTTTTACTATAACAGCCTCCCAAAACCCTATTCTAATTATTAAGGCTCCTACTTGGAGGTTCATGGTACTTATTAACCCAATAATGGCTGTACTTACAACCCAGTTATGACCATATTAGGGCACTTAAGGGGCTTATAAGTGGGTTAAAAGTCAGCTCTTATTGGTTAATAGGCACCATGATTCTGCAAGTATACCTCATGCGTTCCCCCCCCCCCCCCTCTGAGGAGTCTCAGAACCCCTTACCCTACCAGCCCAACAACCCCAACATAAGAACCTATAAACCCTAAGTAAAACCTACAAACCTTGTAGACTCTAAACCCTGCAAACACTACAAGCCCCATAAACCCTATAAACCCTATAAACCCTATAAACCCTATAAACCCTATAAACCCTATAAACCCTATAAACCCTATAAACCCTATAAACCCTATAAAGCCTATAAAGCCTATAAACCCTAGAAACCCTGTAAACCCAATAAACCCTATAAACCAAGAAACCCTCAACCCAAAAACCTAAACGGAACTCACCCAGCCCAACGTGTGGAACTCTTATTCCCTAAGCCCTAAACCCTAAACCCTAAACCCTAAACCCTAAACCCTAAACCCTAAACCTCTCAACTCAAAACCCCAAACCCTCCACCCTCAACCCTAAACCCTAAACCCAAGAAGGATGCAGCGCGGTGCCCGGGCACTCCGTGGCCAGGGCGTGCTCAAGGCTTGAGCGCGATGAGCAGGCCGGCCGTGTAGCTCAGGGTTTAGGGTTTAGGGTTTCTAAACCCTAAACCTCAAACCCAGCGCCAAACCCCTTTCCCCCAAATGCCCAGAGTTGCATACCCGCGCCAGGCGCGATGGGCTCCCAACACTGGCAGAGTTCCTGCAGGGAGGAAGAAAAAACGACTTGCTGCTTCTTATGGCAGGGAATGAGGGTATCTGGTACCCACCCTAACCCCTAAGCGTTAAACCCTAAACACTAAACCTTATAGAAGAGCTTTCTGGGGGAATACAAGGTAGCCCCTACTCCTAACCCGAAAATCCCACTCAGGCCTCTCGGGTTTAGTGTTTAGGGTTTAGGGTTTAGGATTTAGGGACACAGGAAGCAAGCAACAGCTTGTGCACGCCCACACGACCTTTCTGTTAAGTCGAAGGCAGGTTTTGTTCAAACGCCCTTTCTGCCCCGACGCTTGCGACCAGTCTGGGTTCCCCAGAGCTCAATACCCCTCAAGTAATGAGTATATGTAAAACTGGGGGGTTTAGGGTGTAGGGTTTGGGGTTTAGGGTTCATTAAACTATGTGGCTATCCTGTATTGGGATTGAGGTCAATTCCTCAGTCAAGCGCGTCTTGGGCTCTCTGGGTTCATACTGTGAGAAGCCACCCGGCGCCCTTCTGCACCCAGACCCGAATCTTCGGGAATTTGGGGATGTGCAGCTTCGAGCTTCGGAGTTCGGGATCGAGGGTTTAGGGTTTAGGGTTTAGGGTTTGGGGTTTAGGGTTTAGGGTTTAGGGTTTGCGGACCCCGCCATCTCGAGGCTCCATCTGTTAAGGGTGTCGGAGGCTGCTTCTCTTCCGTAGGGTTTTTCTCCTCGTTGAGACTCCAAAACTTACCCCTTGAACTAGGGGCGATTTTGCGTAATGTATGGAAACCTTAAACCCTAAACCCCAAACCCTAAACCCCAAACCCCAAACCCCACACCCCAAACCCCAACCCCCCAAACCCCAAACCGCACACCCCAAACCCTAAACCCTAAACCCTAAACCCTAAACCCTAAACCCTAAACCCTAAACCCTAAACCCTAAACCCTAAACCCTAAACCCTAAACCCTAAACCCTAAACCCTCTGAGGGCTTGGCAGCCAGGACTCCGTGCTGAAGCGGCGAATCACGCTGGTGAAGCAGGCGGCGTCCCCGGGTTTGGCAAAGGCATCTCACCCTAAACCCTAAACCCTAAACCCTAAACCCTAAACCCTAAACCCTAAACCCTAAACCCTAAACCCCAAACCCCAAACCCTAAACCCATATCTTGGGCCGACTTCCAGCAGGTCCTGTCAGGGTTTGGGGGTTATGTTGGGCTGATGTGCCGCGACATCTTTGTGATTCGGGACCCTCTGAAGCCCAGGATTTAGGGTTTAGGGCTTTCTGGCCTGAACCCAAAACCCTAAGCCCCAAGCCCTGAACCCTAAACCCGAAACCCGTACCTGATGCTTGTCCGCTCCCACGCGCAGTGCACAGCTTGCTGGCACGGCGGCGAAGGGGGGTTTAGAGTTTAGGGTTTAGGGTTTAGGGTGAAGGCGTGAAGGATCCCGGCCTAGATTTCGTTTCTTCGGGTTGGCTTCTGACTTGGGTCGTGCGTCCGAGTTGGCTTTCGGATTTGGGGTTTAGGGTTTAGGGTTTAGGGCTTAGGGTTGAGGGTTTAGGGTTTAGGGTGCCAACACAGAGTGCCTGCCCTACGCAGGTTGACGGCGGCGAGCTGACTCGAAATGCGCTGAGCTTGTGCGATTGGGAGCCGAGTGACTCGGCAACAGAAGGGCTAACAGAAAACATATGGGGTTCGGGGTAGCTCATTGGGTCCTTATTATAAGGGAATTTTACTAATTATTTGGGGGACTAAATAAGGTGTCCGGTATTTTCGTAAACCCCATATGATTCTGCCATGTTCTACCCTTACAAGAGAATAGCAGACGGCTTCATGCTCGCCGCGCGGCACATTGTAGGAGATGAGTAGTCAGCGAAGTATGTTTTTTGAGGAAATGTGTGTGTGTGTGTGTGAACCCTAAACCCTAAACCCTAAACCCTAAACCCTAAACCCTAAACCCTAAGCCCGAAACCCTAAACCCTAATTGTACCTGATTCCGCCGCCTTGCCCCTGAGGCCGCGCGGCCTTCACCTCAGCGCGCTGGGGAGGTGTAAGGGTGCCAGGGTTTCGGGTGTTGGGGTTCAGGGGGTTTAGGGTTTAGGGTTTTAGGGTTTAGGATTTAGGGTTTAGGGTTTAGGGTTTAGGGTTTAGGGTTTTGGGTGTTGGGGTATTAAGGCCCTAGAGGTAGGTTTGTGGGTTTGCGGCGTTAGGGCTAGGGTTTCGGGTTTACGAATGTTGCGGTTTACGTTGTAAGGGTTTAGGGTGCCGGGGTTGGGGTTTAGGGTTCAGTGTTTAGGGATCTTTCCATCGATGCCGTGTTTTCTGGTTGAGCTCGTTGTGCAGAGGGCCCCCGATCCCGCCAGTTAAGCAACAGCTGCGCTACACTAAACCCAAAGCCCTAAACCCTAAACCCTAAACCCTAAACCCAAACCCGAAACCCTAAACCCCTCAAAAAAGGCCCCTTTTTTGGGATTGAAGGAAGATTCCTCAATCAGGGGGCTCTTGATGCGCTGGGTATGCTGGGTACATTCTTAGCCTTGGGAGTGATCGATATGGGGTGCTCGCAGGTATCGCGGCTTGCTTTCAGAAAGCTATGGAACCCGTCGCTTGCTTTCAACCCTCAACCCTCAACCCTAAACCCCCCAAGCCCGAATCGTTCGCAAAAAAGCAAGGCATTTGGGCTTCGGGCTCCGGATCCGTCAGCCGCCACTGGCCCCTCCTCTCAACCGCCACCCTCCCCCTCTTTTCCCGCCACCCTCCCCTCTCTCCCGCCCCCCCTCCCCCCCTCTCCCCACCTTCCTCCGACCTTCGTGGGATAACAGTGTTAAATGGCCTTCCGCAATCGGGCCATGGCTGCTCTTCGCATGTCGCGAGCTTTCGAAGCTAGTCTGCATCCCTACCTTCATGGCTTCCGAGCCATAATGCAGGAGCCTACTGCGTCCTCGACACCATCCTCTGCGCCGGGGTCGCCTTCTGTGACGGGGAGCTCCTCTACATTCCCCTCCTCGTTGTCCTGGTCGTCCTGTGGTCGTCCTGTGGTGGGGAAGGGAGAGACTGCGGAGAATGCGTTTGACGACGCTGAGGAGCAGGAGGAGAACGTGGAGAACAACGCAGAGTGGACACATGGCGAGGGGGACGTGCTTGTTGACTCGGACTAGTTTGAGTGGTGGGAGTTTGGGAGGGGTGGACCGTTGAGACTGTGTTGTTCTCGGTGAAGCTTGGCAGTGGTGACGGCTGGCTATGAGACAGCGGTCAAGTAAGGCGACGATGGGTACATGTCTCACCCCTGGAGAACGCTGACGTTCCGCCCGAAAAACTTAGGGATAGTTGGAAATAGTTTTTAAAAATTTGGGTGCTTTAATTCCTAAGAAACAGCAAAAAAGTCATTTTTTGCTAGGGTTTCCATTTCCAAGTTCAGTATAGAAAAGGTGATTCCAAAAAAAGCCCGAAGGGCAGCAGCCCCGGAGGGTTTCGAGGCATCCGCCTTCTTTGTACCATCAGGAAACTAAAGCAGGAACCCTTATAAGGGGTTATTTATGGGCTACTTAGGTTGCTTTAGGGACTATCGCTAAAGTTTTTTTTGGGATTATATAGGGTCCCTTCTAGGGGTCCCTCACCCCTTGATAGCAGAGACGCCTCAACAAACCGCCGAGGCCGCCTTACTGGCGTTGCAGCTTCAGTTAGGCCCGGGGACCTACAGAGCATGAGTGGCATCCCTAAACCCTAAGCCCTAAACCCCAAACCCCAAACCCTAAACCCCCAAAGCCCCTAAACCCCAAAACCCTATTGCGATCATGGAGGGCTTAGGGGTTTAGAGGCTTAGGGTTTCCGCTCCGGGTAAGACCTGCTTCCTGGTTGTAGTTTCCCGCGGCGGCGGGTGGCGGTGATGGTGGCGGGTGGATGGAAGTCGTGGTAGTGATAAGGAGTAAGAACTTGCAAACAAGCCAGTAGGAGAACAGCACGCGTAATTTAGCAGTGCGGTGTAGATTGCGCAAGGTAGAGAAGAAAGAATGCACCTGATACAGGAAGCAAGACAACTGTAAACAATCAGGTGTATAGAAGAACCAACCTCGACAATTCAGATGATCAATGCAGTGGTGAACAGGGTACATATCAGCGGTCTTTCACGACACAAAGATGTAACTAAGTTTTGATGGGCATGGTAGGTATGAATCGAAAGACCCTAAACCCTAAGCCCTAAGCCCTAAACCCTAAATCCTAAACCCTAAACCTGCAAAGAAAGTAGCCGGATGAATTCGGATGCCGCCCTTGCGTGGCTGATTGTGGCTTGAGTCCAGTGCAAGGTTTGGGAGGACGTGCCTCTGCGAGGTGAAATTGCTAAGCCTCAAACCCTAAACCCTGAGACCCAAACCCCAAACCTCAAACCTCAAACCCCAAACCCCAAACCCTAAACCCTAAACCCTAAACCCTAAACCCTAAACCCTAAACCCAAAAACCCTATTTACTTTCAACCAACTTGGGCTGCTGAGTAGCTCAATGGGCTCGCTTAGAGCCGCAGGAGCGGACAAGTCTTATCTGCCGCAGCTGCAGGAGGCGCCCGGGGAGGGTTTAGGGTTTAGGGCTAGGGTTTAGGGTTTAGGGTTTAGGGTTTAGGGTTTAGGGTTTAGGGTTTAGGGTTTAGGGTTTAGGGTTTAGGGTTTGGGGTTCAGGGTTCAGGGTTCAGGGTTCAGGGTTCAGGGTCTTAGGGTTTTAGGGTTTTAGGGTTTTGGGGTTTTAGGGTTTTAGGGTTTTAGGGTTTTAGGGTTTTAGGGTTTTAGGGTTTTAGGGTTTTAGGGTTTTAGGGTTTTAGGGTTTTAGGGTTTAGGGTTTATTTAGTTGTTAAAGGGTTTAGGGGTTTATGGAGACAAAGATTGTGCGGCCTTAGGGGAGTTGACGATTTTTTGAGTTAAGGCTTCTGAAGTTTTTGTTGTGTGTGTGGGTGCGGGTTGGGATGTTTTTTGTGCCCTGCTTTGCCTGGGCAGAGCTCGGGGTCGGTTTGCTTTAGGGTTTAGGGTTTAGGATAGGTCAAGGTTCAAGGCTCAACCCTAAACCCTAAACCCTAAACCCTAAACCCTAAACCCTAAACCCTAAACCCTAAACCCTAAACCCTAAACCCTAAACCCTAAACCCTAAACCCTAAACCCTAAACCCTAAACCCTAAACACGAGTCATGAGCACGAAGCCCTAAATCCTGAACGTGAGGATGAACAGATTGGACCGAGAGACAGGGAGGTAGCAAGGAGAATGACCTCCAGACCCAAAAGCAAGGGCCTACACCTAGAATTCCTTCCCAAAATCCTAAACCTCAAGTCCTGGGACCCCAGGCCCTAAACCCTAATTCCTAAACCTTAAACCCTAAACCCTAAGCCCTAAATCCTAAACCATAAACCCTATACCTTTTCCCACTATACCCTTTACTCCATACCCTAAACCCTAAAACCTAAACCCTAAACCCCTTAAGCCAGGCGCTGGATCGAAGTGGGGGCGATGCCGACCGCGCGGAGGCTGTGTCCAGCCCCCAGTTCTCAAGTGCAGTTTCCACCTAGGGTTTAGGGTTAGGGTTTAGGGTTTAGGGTTTAGGGTTTAGGGTTTAGGGTTTAGGGTTTAGGGTTTAGGGTTTAGGGTTTAGGGTTTGGGGGGGGGGGGGGGGGTGGGGTTGTGGACTCCAACCACTTTGGGGCTTGGCACCCTTCAGCCCTGTAAGCCCTACATCTAAACACCTAAGCCCTCAAGTCCAGTAGCGTTTGTGGGGTTTGGGGTTTAGGGTTTAGGGTTTAAGGGGTTTGGGGTTTAAGGTTTAGGCTTTAGGGTTTAGGCCCCATTGCCCCTTAGGCACTCGAATCTCGAGGCTTGTACTCAAATACGGAGCCCGAGTTTAGACCTGCGGGCCGCCGGCGACGGCGCGGGGTTTAGGGTTTAGGGTTTAGGGTTTAGGGTTTAGGGTTTAGGGTTTAGGGTTTAGGGTTTAGGGTGTGAGAACAGCAGGCTCAGACCCAGAGTAGGACCTGATTCCCTTTGTTTTCGAGTTCGGGTCCTCTGATAAGCCCCTTCAAACCCAAAATGGCACTTTTTTTAATTCCTAGGCTACTCCTGGTTCTAGGAGAATCGGAGAAGAAGGCCCCCTTTACAAGTAGGCCTCAGCATCCATCTTCGCCCATGCGCACTTCTACGGCAAACCCACAAACTTTAAACCACGAAACCCCTCCCCAAAACCCTAAAACCCCACGCCCAAACACCCCAAAACCAAAAACCCCGAACCCAAAAAACCCTTCTGCAACCCTAAACCCGAAACCCTAAACCCTAAACCCTAAACCCCAAACCCTAAACCCTAAACCCTAAACCCCAAACCCGAAACCCTAAACCCTAAACCCCAAACCCGAAACCCTAAACCCCAGACCCCAAACCCCAAGCCCTGAACCCCAAGCCCCAAGCCCTGAACCCCAAACCCCAAGCCCTGAACCACAGCTCAGGATGAAGCTGATGCAGGCGGTTGGCAGCTTGGAGGGCCACATGCTCAGAGGACTCTCGGGTCCTTCATGGGAGGGTCCAAGGTGTTTAGGGTTTAGGGTTTAGGGTTTAGGGTTTAGGGTTTAGGGTTTAGGGTTTAGGGTTTGGGGTTTAGGGTTTAGGGAGGGTTCAAGGGGTTTAGGGTTTAGAGTTTGGGGTAAGGTCCGTAGGGGGAGGTTGTAAAGGGGTTTAGGGCTTTTGGTGGGGGACTCAAATTGAGAGACCTTAGGGAGCCCTTAGCAAAGTTGGATGGAGTATTCGTGACTACTGGGTTGCCTACCAAGAACACGGGGGCTTCCGAAATTAGAGCTACCTTAGTGAGGTGCTTATTATAAGGGAATCCCGACTATTTGGGGTCTATATTCGGGGCCCCTCATTTTCGTAAACCCCCCACATGTCCAAGTCAAGTCGTTCATGGGTGTGCTTATGTTCTGAGGGGTGAGGCTTCTGGGGCGTCGGCTCTCCGTGGCTTCGGGCTCTTTGTGGGGTGTTTAGGGATTAGGGTTTAGGGCTCGTTTCCGAGTTGTTTTTGTGGGGGTTTCAGGGTACACTTTTCAGGGCTTTAGGGGGTTTAGGGTTCACTTAGTGAGGGTGTTTAAGGTTTTGGCGCTCACGTGCCAAGATATTCAATATTAAGAATACAAGCAATAAGACAGTACCCTAAACTCAAAACCCCTAGGCCCGAACCCTTCAATTGCTTAAAAGCGCTGAGCCCGCACTCCCAATGAAGTCTCACAGCTCCAAATGCCTCTTGTTCAGGTGCTGCCAAGATTCTTGAGCAGACGGGGTCTTGGTCCGTGAGCCCCACAGAAGTTGGGGGGGGGGGGGGGGCACCTCAACCTCCTTTTTAGGGATTATGTCTGGCCCTAATTCCCTCATTCCCTACTAACAACCAGCCTGTTGTAAGGTAGGGTGTTTGCGCAAGTTCTAAGCCCCAATCTAGAACGGGCAAGATGGGTTCAAGAAGGCTTAAAAGGTTTAGGGTTGCCCTGTTCTGCGAAGAATTTGCGGAGTTCCCCAAACCCAACACGCTGAAATCTGAAATCTAAATCAGGCGTTTCATGCTGCTTCATGCCTTCCTGCCTTATCCGAAACCCTAGGCCCAAGTCTTCACAAACACCCTTTACCCAATCAAACCCCATAGGCCCTACAAGCCTTCAACCCTCAAAGACAAGACGTTCTCGGGGCCCAGCGTAGCCGTGGGTTTAGGGTTTAGGGTTTAGGGTTTAGGGTTTAGGGTTTAGGGTTTAGGGTTTAGGGTTTAGGGTTTAGGGTTTAGGGTTTAGGGTTTAGGGTTTAGGGTTTAGGGTTTAGGGTTTAGGATTTCAAAGTTCTTGGACTTGACCGTCCGAAGGCGTTGCGCACACCAACCCTGCTATGTTCTTTTTGGGGGGGTGTTTTTGGATATTAGAGTTTGGAGCATGTAGGTTGCTACAGTATAACTGTACATATAACCCCTCTAAGTTTTCTAAATAGGCTATAAGAAGTAGACTTGTAGTAGGGGTTAGAAGTACCCATGAACAACCAAGTAGGGTTTAGAGTATGGAGCCTTTGGGGCTGAGGGCTCGGACCCTCCGTCTGCTTTTAGTTTCTGGATCCGAGTGCTGAGACCCCTTCCCCCAGCCCGTCCCGAACCCGAAGCAGAGAAGTCAGACCCGATCTGATTGACCCAAAACACCTCAAATCCTGAAGGCCGTTGAGACCCTTTTTAGGCCCTAAACACTTGAAGCCGCAAAGCGCCTGCATCCTAAATCCCCAAACCCCCAACCCCGAAATCTCTACTCCCTAATCCCCAACCGCAAAACCCTAAACCCTAAACCCTAAACCCTAAACCCTAAACCCTAAACCCTCAATCCTAAACCCAAAGCCGCAAGCCACCTAGGTGCCCGTAGCCAAGCGCGTGTTGGAGATCCGCAAGCGCTTCCCCCGCCGAGGGCTCAGCTCTCCACTTCAGATTTGGGTTTAGGGTTCAGGGTTCAGGGTTTAGGGTTTAGGGTTTAGGGTTTAGGGTTTAGGGTTTAGAGGTTTTACAGGGTTATATGGTTTAGGGTTTAGGAGGGTTTAGAAGTTTAGGGCTTAGGGTTTTGGGTTCAAGGTTCTGGGTTGTACTGTGATTCAGGTGTCTGGGGTTCAGAGATTTAAGGGTTGTTGGTACCCGGCTTAGTGGGATTCAAAGGTTTTGGGGTTTAGGGTTTAGTGTTGAGGGCTCTCTAGGGGCTTAGGCGTATACAGGGGTCTAACAGGATGGTTAAGCACAGCTGCGCCCGCAGATCTGCTGGTGATGCTTGCATGTGTAACACCCATCTTAGTCATAAGACGCAACCCTCATAAACCCTAAACCCTAAACCCTAAACCCTAAACCCTCAACCCTAAACCCTAAACCCTAAACCCTAAACCCTAAACCTCTAAGACTTCCATGCAGACCGATTTTCCTCAGGCGTCTCGGTGCCCGTGGCGCGCGAGGTGCTGGTGCGGAATGCGGCCTCGGCAGGTTGAGATGTACGCTTCATCACATCACAGGATCCCCCTATAAACCCCAACCCCTAAACCCTAAACCCTACTCCCACCTACGCCGCCATCCCCCAAAGCTCACCTGCAGATTGCGCTCTGAGGGCAAGTAGGCCAAGGAGTGCTTTGGAGGGCGATCTAGGGAAGCGTCCGCTGAGGTGCAGGGGGTGTAGGGTTTAGGGTTTAGGGTTTAGGGTTTAGGGTTTAGGGTTTAGGGTTTAGGGTTTAGGGTTTATATTTAGGGTTCAGGGGGGATCCTCCGGTGCAGCTCAACCGGCAGCTCTTGGCCGAGTGACAACCTCGTGTAGAAACTTGACCCGTCCTCCTGCGTCCGACGCATGTCGCCCGCTCTCTTAGCTCTGGTGGCCCTATGGCTCCCCACAGTTCAGGGGCAGAGTCTGCGAGGGAGCTGGCAGACTTCACAGGCTCCGGCGGCTTCGAGTGCGGAGGAAGCGTTCGCAATCTTTGACCCGAAGAACCAGTCTTGGGGCGTGCGGAACCTGATCTCCTGCCGCTACGGTGTGCTCTGCCATGGCACGGTGGTTTTCAAGGACAGCAAGCCCACGTGTGACGGCACACTCGTGTGCCAGGCGCAAGGCACTGAGGACGCGACCGTGAGAGGCACCAGCACAAACATCACTGATATGAAGGACAGCACGAACAGCACAACTGCTGTGGCAAACCTGCTGGTGTGCCGCTATGGCTCATACTGTCAGGGGGGCTGGTCGTATCACCATGGGCGCGGGGAGTGCATGGGCGGGATGGGTTGCCTACCCCTCCCGTACTATGCAGGATCGAACACAAGCGAGCCGCCTCTCAATCTGGGTAACGCAAGTGACGGCCAAGACACTGCACCGGTGACGTTGAGTCCTGTGGAGCCCACGTATTGTGCTGTGAACCAGTCCTATGGCTTCAGCAACTTGATCTCCTGCCGCTTCGGGGTTGTCTGCCGCGGCACTTGGCTGTGGATCAACGGTATCCGCAAGTGCAGTGGAGCTCTAGTGTGCAAGTCCGGGTACAAGGCCACCACAGATGTTGGTTCAGATGTTGACTCGAACTTCACGACCATCATGCAGGACGACACCAACAGCACAACTGCTGTGGCAAACCTCCTGGTGTGCCTCTATGGCTCATACTGCCGAGGGGGCTGGTCGTATCACCACGGGCGCGGGGAGTGCATGGGCGGCGGAGTGGCTTGCCTGCCCGGCCCGTATTACGCGGGCTCTAGCACTAGCACAAGCGAGCCGACTCTCACTTTGGGCGGTGCAAATCACACCCAAGACACTGCACTGGTGGCGTTGAGTCCTGTGGAGCCCACGTATGATGCTGTGAACCAGTCCCATGGCTTCAGCAACTTGATCTCCTGCCGCTTCGGGGTTGTCTGCCACGGCACTTGGCTGTGGATCAACGGTATCCGCAAGTGCAGTGGAGCTCTAGTGTGCAAGTCCGGGTACAAGGCCACCACAGATGTTGGTTCAGATGTTGACTCGAACTTCACGACCATCATGCAGGACGACACCAACAGCACAACTGCTGTGGCAAATCTCCTGGTGTGCCGCTATGGCTCATACTGCCGAGGGGGCTGGTCGTATCACCACGGGCGCGGGGACTGCATGGGCGGAGTCTTTTGCTTGCCCGGCCCGTACTACACAGGTTCGAACACAAGGAAGCCGACTCTCAATTTGGGCGGTGCAAGTGACACCCAAGACACTGCACTGGTGGCTTTGAGTCCTGTGGAGCCCACGTATGATGCTGTGAACCAGTCCCATGGCTTCAGCAACTTGATTTCCTGCCGCTTCGGGGTTGTCTGCCACGGCACTTGGCTGTGGATCAACGGTTTCCGCAAGTGCAGTGGAGCTCTTGTTTGCAAGTCCGGGTACAAGGCCGCCACAGATGTTGGTTCAGGCAGTGGTTCGAGCTTCACGACCATCATGCATGATGACACCAGCAGCACAACTGCCGTGGCAAACCTGTTGCTGTGCCGCTATGGCTCATACTGCCGAGGGGGCTGGTGGTATCACAATGGGCGCAGGGAGTGCATGGGCGGAATCGCTTGCCGGCGCGGGCAATACATCAGGCCGCCCCGTCACCTTTCAACCCGAATCAGATCTGCCACTTGAGCCATTGCCAAAATCCTGCTGTAGCAGCTTGAGTTTCTGGACGAGGGTTCTGTTTCTTGTCATCACGGCAGAGGTCGTGGCGACGTTTCAACGAATATGGTCTTTTGATTCAGGCTTGTCCTGGTCGTACAGCATGCATGATGCAGGGTCTCATCTCTCAACGAACAGAGGGAATTTTGACCTTGCTGTCCATCAGAAGCGACATGGCAAGTTCTCCACTAGGATCTCTTCCCGAATCCTCGATAGAAGGGTGCTGTCGGGGAAAGGCATCCTAGTGTAGAGAGCTACCCCACATTACTTTAAAGTACTGTACAGAGCTCAGCTCCGAGGTGCTGGACTTTCTGGGAAAAGTTCGCGAAACCCTGTACAGCCAAGGATGTGCTCCCTGTAATATAGGGGTCGAACTGATTACTACTAGTCTTCCCTTAGCGTCCCTTTAAGATTCTACTTCAATAACCCCCAAAATTCTATTCTAATTATTCAGGCCCCTATATTACCTGTAACACAGGGGTCGAAATAATTACCAATAGTCTTCCCTTAAGATCCCTTTATAGTTCTAGTAGATTCAGGCCCCTATGTTACCTGTAAAGGTCTGTGGAGCATGTTCCGCGTTGCGCTCTTGGCAACACCTGGGCGAGAGGCGGCTCACTCGGAGGGCAAAATTCCGCAGCCTGCGGCTTGAAGTGGCATCATGCACCGGGGTCTCTCTTTCTAAGGTTTGGTTACACCCTCAACCCTAAACCCTAAACCCTAAACCCTAAACCCTAAACCCTAAACCCTAAACCCTAAACCCTAAACCCTAAACCCTAAACCCTAAGCCCTAAACCCTAAACCTTAAACGCCTTCTCCAGACACAAGAAGGAAGAGCCGTCTGCCTATTCCTAGAGTCCTAGTTTGCTTTGGGACCTAGACCGACCCTGGGAGCCCAACGCCTATTCTGTTGTCGTGTAGGTCACCTAAGAAGTTATAGAGTGTAGGATTTAGGGTTTAGGGTTTAGGGTTTAGGGTTCAGGGTTTAGGGTTTAGGGTTTAGGGTTTGCATTCCCTCCAAAACAGTCCTAAGGTCCCTGAACCCTAAACCCCTGGGCCCCTCGAAGGCTTGAAGGTTCGAGGTTAACCCTAAACCCTAAACCCTAAACCCTAAACCCTAAACCCTAAACCGTAAAGCCTAAACCCTAAGCCCTAAGCCCTTGGACCCCCGAACTCTGCCAGGATGATGACCCACACGCAGCCTGCGAGATGTTGGAGGCAAGAGGGCGGAGGGTCTAGGGCTAGCCCCCTTTTGTTTAGGGTTAGGGCCATAGGGTTAGAGGGTTTAGAGTTTAGGGTTTAGGGTCTAGGGTCTAGGGCTAGCCCCCTTTTGTTTAGGGTTGGTTATAGGGTTATAGGGTTAATGGGTTAGTGGGTTATAGGGTTATAGGGTTATAGGGTTATAGGGTTATAGGGTTAATGGGTGATAGGGTTATAGGGTTATAGGGTTATAGGGTTTAGGGTTTAGGGTCAAGGGGTCTAGGGCTAAACCCCGCACACCTAAACGGGGGTACCTTATTGGGGTCCTTGCTGTGAGGGAATCCTAGCTTTTTTGGGGACTATATTAGGGTTCCCCTATTTTCGTAAACCCCCAACTCCTATCAAGGGTTTAAGACTCGTACCCCGAAGGTTGTACCCCTAAAGGTTCCCCTTCATATGCTCTTACTAGGCCCCTGCACTACTTTAAGGATCTCAAAGGGTCCCCCAAAAACCCAAGGGTACAACCAGAAGGGTCCAAGGTACAACCCCTAGAATCCTAAACCCCGGAAGAGGTCTGGGCGTTCAAGAGCCTAAACCCTAAACCCTAAACCCTAAACCCTAAACCCTAAACCCTATAACCCTATAACCCTGTAACCCGGTTCTACACCTTCTGAGCCCCGAACCCAAAGCCCTCTTGCTGGCTGCAACGCCTGCTAGAAGGTCCCTCGCTTGGCGGTTTGGGGTTTAGGGTTTAGGGTTTGGGGTTTAGGGTTTAGGGTTTAGGGTTTAGGGTTTGGGGGTTTGGGGTTTAGGGTTTAGGCTGATTCCCTGCTCCTGGCAGGAGTACCGCCAGCGGATCCAGCGAATTGCCGGGCGCTCGCTCTCATCATGGGGTCCTCTACTACCCCTAAACCCGTACCAACCCAGAATCCCTAAACCCGAAACCCTAAACCCTAAACCCTAAACCCGAAACCCTAAACCCTAAACCCTAACCCTAAACCCTAAACCCTAAACCCTAAACCCTAAACCCTAAACCGTTGTTTGGGCTAAAGGTGGGGGGAGTATAGGATCTCATAATCGGAAGATCCATCTGCCAATCACGCCAAACAACTCGACCCTGAATCCGGTTCGTCCTGTCACCCCAAGCCCTAAACCCCCTAAACCCCTAAGCCCGAATCCCTAAACCCCAAACCCTAAACCCTAAACCCTAAATCCCTAAACCCCTAAACCCTAAACCCCAAGCCCAACCCCGCGCCACGAAGGCTGGAGACCAGGTGGATCAGACGCTCCTCCTGCCTGGCGAGGAGAGCGCGGTCGTGGGGGCACCCAGGGTTCTTAGGGTTTAGGGTTTAGGGTTTAGGGTTTAGGGTTTAGGGTTTAGGGTTTCGGGTTTAGGGGCCAGGTTGGCCCTTTAAACTTAAAAAGCCCGCAACAAGAAAAGGAACCCGGAACCCTAAGAATCCCCAAGCCTAAGCACCCCAAACCCTCAACCCTCAGCCCTCAATCCTCGACCCTCAACCCTCAACCCTCAACCCTCAACCCTAAACCCTCTGTTTTGCAGGTTACGAAGACCCGACTATTATGCGATTCTGAAGTGCGAGTAAGCTACAAAGAAGATCACACAAGCACGGCTCTCTGGATTCTTGAGGTCGTCCCAAGCCCTAAACTCTGAGGATTAGGGTTTAGGGTTTGAGGTTTAGGGTCTAGGGTTTAGGGCCTAGCCCTAAACCCTAAACCCAGGGTACCTTCGGGAAGCTTAGGGACTTTCAGGGAGCCTTAGGGAGTACTGGCAAGCCTTGGATTATATATTCTGCTTGACCCCCCTCCCTTAAGGACCCTATAGAAGGGGTTGCGGTTTTAGGGTCTAGGCGGTCTAGGGTTTAGGGTTTGGAATTTGGGGTTTAGGGTTGAGGGTTTAGGGTTTAGGGTTTAGGGTTTAGGGTTTGAGGTTTGAGGTTTGAGGTTTGGGGTTAAGGGTTTAATCCCTGAACCCTGAAACCGAAACCCCAACATGTCCAGTCGCTTCCCTAGAGGGGTGAAAGTTCACAGGACCCAGACTAGGCCCTCATTCCCTTTTTTAAAGGTTTCCTTATGAGCCCCTATCGCCCCTATCAACCAAGAAGGGTGTTTTTTTTTTTTTTTTTCTCAGGTTACCTCTTGGGTATAGAAAAGCAACCCCGTGAGCTCATCGGCTCCATCTTTACTTTGCTTTCGCACCGCCCTCAGAAGTAGGAGGGGAGCAATGCAGTGCAAGGTCTACTCCTCAATGAAGGGCTGCTAAACCCTAAACGATAAACCTTAAACCCGAAACCCTAAACCCTAAACCCTAAACCCTAAGCCTTAACCTTAAACCCTAGTGGGAAGAACCCGCAGCAGGCAGAAGGCGCGCTGGACATCAGCGACTGGGACCCGCGGCACGCTTTTGTGGCTGCCCGGGCCCTACGCCCCCCTGTGGATCCGATCCCAAAATGGCTTGGGTTTAGGGTTTTAGGGTTTTAGGGTTTAGGGCTAGGGTTTAGGGTTTAGGGCTAGAGTTTAGGGTTTAGGGTTTAGTTAGGGTTTAGAGTTCAGGGCTCAGGGTTCGGGATCTAGGGACTCGAGCGGCTGCCTCTCAACCCAGAAGAAGGACCGGGGTGGTTCAGGGGTCAGAGATTCCCACAGGGAGGCTAAACCCCACACATTTTTACCAGGACCTCGGGCCTGAACCCCAAACCCATTCAATCTGAATTTGGGGTTTAGGGTTTAGGGTTTAGGTTTTAGGTTTAGGGTTTAGGGCTTATAAGGGTCAGTGGAAGGTGCGGAAACTCGCCAGCTGTGTGAAGCAGACGCGACGGATGGCGGGCAGCGGGCTTGGAGTTTCTTCTTCCAAGGCAACCCTGAACCCTAAACCCTAAACCCTAATCCCTAAACCCTAAACCCTAAACCCTAACCCTCAAAGGCCAGGATAAATAGAAATTGTAGGTGTTTCAGAACGAGCAGCTCGTGCAATCACCCCCCCAGCCCCAAGCCCAAGCCCCAGCCCCAGCCCCAGCCCCAGCCCCAGCTCCAGCAGCCCCACCCCAGCCCCACAGCCACTCCCCAGCGTAGCCGCACAGCCCCTTCAACGAGCCCCAGATTCACCCAGAGCCACAGCCCCAGCCACAGCCCAGCGCAGCCGGCAGCCCCAGCCCCCCCCCAGCCGCCAAGCCTGGAAAACCATCGCAGTTTTTTCAAAAGCAAAAGAAAAAACCGGTCAAAACCGGTCAAAACTCGGTCAAAACCCCGTCAAAACCCCGGACACAAACCCTATACAATTTCTATAAACCTAAACCCTAGTGAAGACCATGGGCCTCTTGCGTCATGTGTGCCCCAGACTCACTTGCACCCTCTATATTGGCATTTCCGATAATAGGGGTACCCTTTTGGGGTTTGCGGTTTAGGGTTTGTACTAGGGGTACCCCTATTGTGAGAAAAGCCCATATGGGTTGTTATCTTTACTATGTACCCTTGTCGTGTACCCTAAATTGCTCTTATAGGAGCTCCAAAAGGGACGGACCCCAATCCAGTGAACTCACCTTTAGGCTCCCCACTTAAATTTTGCGTTCTACAGGGATATGTCGGTAGTTTGACTTCAAGTAGTCTTTGCAAACCGAAGCAGCCCAAAAGAATGACCCCCTATCTAACCCCTACAGGGTCCCTTATACGGCCCCCTCCTGTAGCTTTTTGTAGTCCAGGTGCAGTGGAATGCTGAATTCTTTTCTGTATAGGGATTTGGGAAAATATCGGTTGCC